ACGCTCACCTGCTTTGTCGTGCTTACCTCTTGTTGAGGTGATGGACATGAGGAGCTTTGGGGTAATCAGGGATTCAGAATCTTCGATTCAGCACCTTCGGCATCAGGGACAAAGGTCGCCGAAGGTAATCCTTAATCTCCCGTGGTCGCTCCTCGCGATGTAATCGAGGGTCGTTTGGCACGAACCCTCGCCGACCAATTCATTGGTACGGGCTGCTTTGGTAGACATGGTAGGCTTCATGCAGTGGTAGCAAAGTGGTTTTCGGTCGCACATTCGCATCACCTACGTTTTCCTCGGTGTACTTTGTTGAGCACAGTCCTACACACAATGTTGGGAATGCTTCAGCGTTAGAGTGTCTCATTGAATTGGCATTGAATACTAAGGGGCAGCCGGTGGCGGTCGTCGTGCCATTGTGGCGTAAGTTGCACTTGGTTTGTCAGATGCCGCTTCGCTCGCAGAAGTCTCGGTTGAAATACCTGTCAAACTTGTTCCGAAACAATCTCGGCAATCAAAATAAAAGCCGGGCAACTGATGGCAGGAAGTAGCTTCCTGATCTCCTCCCAGACAACGTCGTGGGTGATGTCGTGGATGCCTGGGAGGCTGGCGTCGAAGTAGTAGCTGGACAACTCGAGTGTCGAGACGCCGGGAAGTTGTTCATAGTGGCAGGCTCGGGCATGCAGCGCACATTCCATGTTGGAAGCCTCAGTGATATGAACACTTCGACTGTTGTTGGGGGGTTGCGGACAAGGCTGCCGAAGGTGTTGTCCCTCACGTGAGGCGCATTGGATTCTTAGGTTCTTGTCTTCTGTAGCATCAAGGTCGGCGTGGGCGTGGGCGCTCGATCAAGCGCAAAACATCCTCCACGAGTGCGGTGGCGCTCTCATTGGGGCAGTGTCCTGGACAGAATCAAGAATGCGGCTCTCTTTCGTTGATGTTGGCTGACGGATGCGCGCTTCAGCTTGATCTTGCAAACTTCCCATGACGTTAAGGAGGATCCATGGTTCTCAGACCAGCGCCGGCAGTTGCTTCCACGAGAAGTATAGGTTCTGCAGGAGCTGGTTGTCTGTCCACCCAATGTGGCGGGCGACACTGTCATATTGTTCAATCCTGTCCTTGACGTCTTCATACAGCTTGCGTGAAAAAGCGTCGGAGTGTGATTTGCGACGGGCATGCAAACAATGATGGGAGGGGACACGGTTTGCTGCTACAGGTTTGTCATTGTTGGCTTAGTCAGCTTCGGATTTTCTGACAGGAGACCGAATTCCGGTGGTTTTTCCTGGTAGCAGCAACTGGCTCGGATTTCAGGTGCTTCGTGGTGTATTTCCGAGGTTACTCCTTGTGGTACTCGGTCGTCTTGCGGTTGTTCTGCCAGGCTCGAGTCAGGACTTTGCCTACGGCTCGACAGGGGTATAAGACGCCGAATAGTCCACCGGCCGTGTCCCATTATCGGGTAACTCGGCTGAAGAGCCGCCGGGTTCACACAGAGTGAAGGGCTACGGGTAAAGTGCCCAGTACCTCCACCTGAACATACGATTACAGCTGAGCATGACCTGCAGTGTCCCAGAATAGTGAATATTGATAGAAGATAGGACTGGAACAAGGATCCGTGACAGGATAACAAAACTAGCAGAAGAGAATCTAACCTGACCACTGAAGAAGCTGCATTGCTTTAGTGGCATTCTGTCCGAATAAATCCTCTCCTTCGGGGTTTGGCGACTGCCGTGGACGAACTGAACTGAAATGGATGTGGGACCACTTTTCTGGTAATGAGCCACTGCAGACTGTTGCCACAAAGCGGCGTCAGCTGGGTACGTAACACGCTCGGTGAAATGTCCGGACAGCTTGCAATTCGCGTAACGAGTGTGGATGAAACGTTTGTGTTGACGAAACGTGCGACAGACCAGCGGGATCAATACCAACTGCAACACCTGTGCTCCGTGAAAGTGCACGTCTACGCCGGAACAATTTCGGAAGCCGGACAGCATCACCTAAAGCATGGCACAGGAACTACCAGCTTGAAGGCAGCTCTTCGGTGCGCCGCACACCTGTGCTCCGTGAAAGTGCACTTCTACGCCGGAACAATTTGTAAGCAGCACAGCATCATTCAGCACGGCACGGGAACTACCAGCTTCAAGGCGGCCTTCCGGTGCGCCGCACAACCGAAGTGAGCCCTCGGTCATTTGATCGAAGCTGCACCGCGATTGCACACCGCCAAGCACGGCTCAGGCAATTTCCGTCGCTAAACTGTGCATCCAAATATATTGCACACGCTTCACTGCAAACCTCGAAGATTCCGATGGTCAACGAGAATACAGAAACGTCGCCTTAAATTTTATCCTAGCGGTATCCGAATCAATCTGAGGTCCGAGCCACGTAGGTTAGATTGTCTCTTCCGTGGCAATATCCCGGTCGGTCACCAGCGAAATGCACACCGTTTCTTCGTATTTTCACGTTATACCTACGTCAAACACCACGCTGAACTCTGAACTCGCTTTCGACCGGCCTCATATGACGGCTTCCGCGTCTGAAATCAACTCGCCGAGACGAACGACAACCAACAAAGCATCCGACAAGCTCCGGCCCAGCTGGGGCCAGCCGCTGCATGGGCGCTGCCATCTTTCCTGTGACGTCACGTATTTGGTTTGGTCATGTGACGTGTGGTCAAATTTGCGTACAATGGCAGCCTCCTTATGGGGGTCACTTTCGAGTGCAGACCGGAACCCCGGTTTATCGCTCTAAGCCCCTCTACCTCGTTGGGACATCCACCCACAGCCCCAGACCGGAAGTGCGCCCGATGCGCCACCACCGGACCGTGACGTAACAGAGATGAGTTGGTTTATAGACCTTTGTCCGGAAGTGCTCTTTTTAGCCTCGACCGCAAGGAGCGAAAGCGAACAATAATCTCGAACCCAGACGCTCACGGGGAGTAAAGCCCCTCGATGTGTTTTCGTTTGTCTTTGCAAGTAGCGCCAAATGCGCGAGCGCACGTGGCCCAGGTCTCGAGCCGCCCTTGGAAGCAAATGGCGGCGCAGCACTGAAATGAGCGGCCCTTGGAAGCGAATGGCGGCGGAGCACCCGCTCGTGGCACGTGTCTTGCGCATTTCCACAACAATGGTTGGCGGTACTTGTGAAAACACCTTTATCAAGGGGCTTTAACGGGGAGGGGGGGCTGCGTCGGCCTGCGCCGCCGGTTCCCGTTGAGGGCTTCTACGCTGGTGTGCCGACTGCCGTTTCGCCGGCATCGGTCCTGTTTACCGCGGTATGTGAGAGCCGTGTGTCCATACGCCACTTTGCCGCTGTTGGTTTCCATCTAGCCGAGCCAAAAAACATCTCGCGACGAGTTGACCGCGCCGCGAGTGACGAAGAAGAAGCAAACATGGCGACGGTTTGTGCGATTGCTTTGGTGGCTCCGGTTTTGGGTGTCTTCAACGTCCTCGTGAGAAGATTCCCCTGCCCTTCGAAGTTATTGCGAGCACCACGAAAGATGTGGAATCATCGTCTCAACTATAAATAAGCAGGCCTTCACGAGCAACAACGGTGCCGAGCAGGCGCTCGGCACAGTTGCGTCAGGCTCACGCAGCCAGCGGCAGTTGTGTTTGTTGTGTCGTCAGATGTTCAACAACGCCGAGGTATTTGCATTTATCATTTGGAATGGCTTCAAGAGTGGGAAATTAGTCTATTTCGCGGATTGTTAACGCCGAGGCGAGTGCCCTCCGTTGCAGTGCCGTCGTCGCGCAAAGTGCAGAGAAAACCGGGTGGCGATGGCGGCGGTGCTCTTTGATCCTGCGCCCGTCGGGTTCTTTGATCCTGCGCCGTCGGGTTCATGAAGTCCGGAGTAAACGTACGTACGTGCGTCTGCTGGATCGGTGTTTTGGACTTCCTCAAAACTCTTTCTCACGCGCATTTTCCTTGTGAAGCTTAGTAGCTCATTACACCTCCTCGTCGACTGCGCTCATTTGACTACGACGGACGAGCCTGCGTGATGTGAATTTCACTGCCTAAGATCCTTGGTGTGCTGTAACGAGGGCTAATAAAATATCACCGCGAACTTCTGAACAAACGAGTCGAAGTTTCGTCTGCTATCATAACTGATCGCCTGTCACAATATTAATCAGTAGCGTTCCTAGACTCCGCCCCCACAGGCACCGTGCTTCGTTGCCCGATAGTAAGTGTCTCCTGGTACCTCGTAGAATTCCAGCTCCCACTTCAAGTAAGTACCATCCTTTAGAACTGGCAATTAATAGTTTCGAACCCAGACACTCGCAGTGTGTGTTTGTGTGTGTGGGGGGGGGGGGGGGGGGGGGGGCGGGGACGCGTGCTAACATACTCGGAGCCCTCGTTTACGCCGCTTCGCAGCGGCAGACAAGCCGCCACATTACAAAAAAAAGCCAATCCGAGCTGTCTATGTAACTAGACCCATTCGCTAGTCATTCGATGAAACGTCGTGGTCTCGTTTTCATTCGCTAAAGCGGCGTTCGATCAAGTGAACGCCTCCCACTTATTTCGGCTCGGCAGAGCCGCGCTGCCGCAGAAAGGCAAGCAGATCGCGAAAATCGGTCTCAAACGTGCCACGAATGTAATGTTGTATACAAGAAGCCAACAATCAAGCTTTTGAAAGCTACAAGAAAGCGGTAGCGAAATATTTACCACGCAATGAACCCGGACTGAAACGCGGATGTCAAGGGTCAGCAGACACCGAGAACATTTAAGACAAGAAAGGTTTTCTCTTGTTTTCTTGATCGAGATGGGTTCTCGAATGTTCACGACATTTTATCTGTTGAAGAACGGGTCGCGGAGGCTTCTGGTGAAGACATCGTTCACGATGTGCCGGTGCATTCGGACAGCCTGCCGCATCCAGCTCCCCAAAGCAACGCCGCCAACGCAGCCCCCCCCCTCCTGCCTGCCAGTTCTCTCCGCGCGGTGGCGCGAGCGTAGATAAACATGGCGGCGCCCTGGAATTGGCGCGGACACTGGTCTATAGGAACCATGCGAAGACTCGCCTCTCTCCGCGTCCTGCGCACGTCGTTCCTCTTGAGGTGTTCCACGATCTGCCCGACGGGGTCGCTGTCGTACTCGAACTGGAGGAAGCACCAGTAGAGGGCGTTGTCGTCGCCCTCGTCCAGGTCCGAGTCCGAGTCGCTGGTCTCGTCGTAGTAGAAAGGGGGCACGACCAGGGGCTGCGTGCTCGACGCCGGAGCTCCCTTGTGCACCACGGGCATGCGCTCCGCGTACAGCTCCGGGTTCCGGCCGGCCAGCTTCAGGTAGCGGTTCATCACGTAGCCCACCAGGTCCTCGTAGAGCTGAGGACGAGCGTGCACTTGATGAGACTTCGTGCACAATACACTGAGATCGGTGTCAAAAAGGGGACGGAATCCGCACTTGAACCCACCCTGTCGTAAGCTAAATTAACCCGTTCTATATAGCTTGACTACTTAATTCAGATCAAGGCAGCACTGGAGTGTGGGTTACATGGCTGAACCTTAAACACCCGAAATTCCAAGAAGGTTGGGGAAACTGCTCGCACTTGCACCCTGCTCCGGACGCTCACACCTCTTCTGGCTCACCACCTCAAAGTAAATGACCTATCTGTTGTTGCAAGCACGTGAAATACATATGCTATGCAAGCATGTGCCTTGTACAGCATATCTCGATGATATAAAGAACACACACAATGCTGGACCTTTTATATAATAATGTAGAATATAGTAGATGAACGATGTAGGCAAGAACCATCACCGCCGCCTTTTTCCCCCGGCGAGGAAGTTGCCCATTTTCCTCTTCTGCGACAAGTTTCATTGGCACAGAAGAGGCTGTGGCGAGTTTGATTGTATGCGGTGGAAGCTTGGAGCCATCGCGTTTTTAAAACATCACTGTCACTATTGACAACCAGACATTACTCGTATTTCCGTTAATAAAAACAGAATTAATCCCAGTTTGGTTGATATTGGAAAGCCGACCACTCCGACGCTTTTGGTAGCCTATGTGGCCAATAACCGCTACTTAAGGCCCGTTCACACACGTGCACTCGAGTACGACCGAGAGAGACAAGACTGGTTTTTAAGCCTCTTACGACGGTGGAGTACCTCAAGTCCTTTGATACTTCTTTTACAAGTAACGCTAACCAACACAAATAACAAAGCACATTCCGCTGGAACAAAATGGCGGCACTCAGTTTAAACCTCTGCTGTGCGCCGCCATTCGCTTTCTAAGACCTGCACCGCCACGCAGTCGGCGCTTAAAAGAATGTCGCTACTTGTAGGAAGCTCTTACCTAGGGACTTTAGTGGTACCTATATTCTACGCAGCAGCGCATGTGGTCATACGCCGCCGTAAGTGTCTTAAAAACCGGTCTTGTCTCTCTCGGTCTTACTCGGTTGCAACTTGCAAGTGTGTGAAAGGCACTTTAGAAAAAAAGTAGTAAAACTATTTTATCCTGCAGGCGGGGGACAACTGCCCGAAGGCAAAATCCGCCCGAGGGTGGACAACGCTTCTCGGCTGGTTCTGACCTAGCCACGTCTGGCTACACCTTAACCATATAGCCGAAAAAAAAGAAAAAAGAAAACCGGGAGGGACGTTTTTCACTACATTCTGCTTTACCGAGGTAAATAAGAACGACGTCAGACTGCCAACTTTGACAGTGTTGTTTTTGGAATGCAATTGCCCCAAGCTTCCGTCGTGCTTCTCGGAAATCATCAAACATGTTGATGGTAGCTGATAATCTTTCTCGTGACGTCACATTTATGAACGAAAGTTGTCTCCGCGCACTCTCTTGTACAGCTCTTGTTCGGTGTCTCCTGAGTGGTAGGGATTTTTCGCCCCTTTAATGAAACACGTCACGAAGGTAAGCAAATCTCCAGGTTTTTGAGAAAAAAAAAAAAACAAAAAACAAAAAACAAAAAAAAAAACTTTGCGGCGTTCTTTTGTTTAGTCCCCCCACTACGTCATGACGCAAAGAATATTTGTGTTTGAAGAGTTTCGCTACCCTGGAAACCATTGCAACATAACTCTCGTGCTGGCTATTTTTGGGTGGCACGTAAGCGTTCTCAGAAAAGCTTGTCACAGGATTCGTCTGAAATGCTTTCTTACTTCGGGAATTTCGGCGCCTTCGTTGAGGATGTTGACGAAGCACGAAAGGATGCTCGGATGAAAGAGGGCTTCAGGACGCTTCAGGTCTCCCGCCACGTGGTGCATCATTGTAAAGACGCAGTCGTTCACCAGCATACTGCGGGAGAAAAGTGAACAGCAAAAGATCATGCTTTATTTACGTGTATCTATTTTTTGCTAGCAGCAAATTTTGACATGAGTCGTAATGTTACTTACCTGTTGGTCCTAAAGTCCTTCAGCACTTCTCCATACTTTTCCATTACTTCCGTTGTTGCGAACCTGCATGACAACGAGACTTTGTTCGAAATATGTTCTCCAACTAAACTTTTGCGTCTAAATATGGGCCCATTCTTCCTCACGACAGCAAAGCACAGAAAAAGTGACTTTTATATAAATGTAATATTTATGGCGAACTAAGAAAAGAAAAGAAAGACAAAAATAGTAACATGTTATTTTTTACTGTCAATAGGTGGTGAAGCACAGGTTTTATGTTTTTATGATGGCACTTGGAGTTGCAAATACAGAACAAGAGCACAGGCAAGCTCGAGGCATCGTGGAATGTGACATGTCCTAAAATGTAATCTCGTCCACAATCCGCGGACCCTTGTAATGTGCAGCTTTATAAAAAAAAAAAAAAGAAAAAAAAAGAGCATTAGAGCGTAGGTCTATTCTCACGCTCGGTTTTCTTGAACATAATTTAGGTAAATGGTCAGCTAGAACGAGAGGGACAAACACAGACAGAGAGAAACAGAGACATACACACCGCTGTTTCTGTTTCTCTCTGTCTGTGTTTGTCCCTCTCGTTCTAGCTGACCACTTACCTAAATTATGCACCAACTAGCTCAACTTCAACCTGTTTTTCTTGAACAACTGCGACAGAAACGCGCCACAGAACTCGAGATCCTGTACAGTTCACACCGTGCAGGGGAAGGGTTGTGAGAGTGTGCAGTCAAGTAGAGTGGTTTCCACTCTTGACCAGAGTATTTAACAATCAACCATAATTGCGAACAAACTTATTCGCCGCCAAATGGGGATTATTTGTACCGGCCAAGCCCTTCCCTCCGTCCGCCGCGGAGCTGACGTCGCAGCGCAGGATCGCAATCGTCTGACGTTTTTGTCGCGAGCGTGATGCTCGCACCGGTGAAAAATCTCCGGGGTTTCTTCCTCGTGTGAATACCGCTTTAGGCTCGCCCACTGATCTCTATAGGGAGTATTCACTGGACGCCATATTTGTGGGTGCTGCTTAGAGCGCATGCTCAGAACGAGCTCATATTAATAGGCTGCTAATGCGCGAAACACATGTACGGCGAAACCGTCCGATCCGACGTCCGACCGCGCAATACGACGGTCGGACGTCGGATCGGACAGTTTCGCCGTACATGTGTTTCGCGCTTAAGACCGGCACTCTTGGTGGTGCGGAATGCACGTGGCAAAAGAACTGTGGAAGCTCGCCCTCAGCGCGCGCTCAGCATTTGCGCGCACAGCTATGGCCGCCAGTGAATACTCCCTATTCTTGAAGACTGGATTGGCTGGACCGCGGGCCGGCGGCCTCGGCAGCTGGGGCCGAGTCACGGTGTAAGATAATACTGTTCAGGTGAGGACAGCGCGCTCCTCGCGCAGTGCAGATAAAGCTCTATTTTCACTCTCTCTCTTTCTCTCTCTCACTATGGTTTCAAGCGGCGCCGGCAGATGACTCGTCGACCCGTGGGCACGTACAAGACGGCTCGTCCCGCCCACGGTTGTCCCGCCTCATGTACCACACGCGCAGAGCTCCAGCGAGGTTGTCGCACGTGCAGAAAGACCGCGGTGTACAGGGGTGTCATGGTAACGAGATAATTTTTTTCGCTGTCACACAGTTTCCCTGTTTGGCCGCCGGCGACATTGTCAGCCGCGGGCACGGTGGCAGCGGAATGATGCAGCCTTTCGGATGCCCGTCGAACGAACACTATCTTATTCCTCGCGCCGCGCGTTCAGCCCCGCCGTGTCCTCGCCTAAAGAGTGTATCTTACACCACCGTGGGCCGAGTGTCGCCACCGGCGGCCATTGATTGACATCACCAAATGCATGAGACTTTATGGGAAAAACAAGAAAAATGACGTTTCCCCGTTTCTAAGCTGTTGTTGACACTAAAACTTTTTGATAAGCCCTTCAAAAAAGCTTGCCTACAGACATTAAAACTGACAGCCCTCGCAGTTCTTATAAATAAATAGTTTGTGGTCGAGAATCATTCCGCTGGGCGAAAAGTGTAGTGCAGCTCAATGAGGCGAGAGTTGCCTAGAGTTACCGCGGAGTCGGTAGCGGTTTCGTTGAGTTTGGTTTAGCAGACGAAAAGCTCGAAGGCTTTGCTACGCGGAATTCGCTCACTCCTGAAAAGCCGCTGTCGAGATGAAACGCCTTTGTCATTCCTCAACTTCTAGGCTTCCCCGAGGACGGTCTTATTGACAGAAAGTTCCTTTGTTTACTCCACTACAAGAGCAAGCTTGACAGCTCAGCCGCAGGTGCTCCGGTACGTTTGATTTTTTAAATCGGCGTTGAAACGTTTGACAAATACCGATTTGATCTGCAAACACCCAACATAAGGATCGAAGCACACCATCAAACACTCGCCTCCGAGCACAGCGTACATGCTTCAATTTTCTTACTTTTGTGCGTTTTTCCCATAGACTTGCGTGTATTGCCTGGTGTCAAGATGCGGCCGCCGGTGGCGACACCGACGGCCTCCCGATCCGCGATCCAGCCTACTATACAAGAGAGATCAGTGGGTTCGCCTGCCTAGGCGTTCAACTCATGTCCGAGGCTCGCTGGGCTGATTCGGAATCATGTGCGGAAGGTGTATTTACTTTGCGAGAGTTTGTATAGTAGAAAAAAAACTTTGCAAAGCATGGCGGTTGTGCTTCATCCTTTCGCTTTCATGAGGGTTAAGGGTTCACAAGTGGAAATGTAGAGGAGATTCAACCGTTGCGCCCCTAGCGGTAGCGTAAAGAACTAAATTCATGGAGACATTAACGAGAGGAATCCTTCGTTGGTGTTTATGACGCGCAGCGCTCGGCTCACGTAGGGGCGCTGTGATAGCATTTGACTGGGGTTCGTATTTAATCAGTAAATTAGCAGTTGAACAAGAGGGCGAATCCGAACGCAAAAGTGGCGCTGACTCTGTGCCCCGCCCTCGGTCAATAGGATTACGAGAAGAATCCAATCCCCAGGGCCTGGTTTGGGTGAACACGAATTTCTGTGGAAAACAAGCTGGGCAAAGCGCCGCGTATGCAATCTCCTCGCCAATAGCAAGAGGTTCTTCTATCGCATATCTCTAATTACGACGAGCACGACTAAAAAGCGTCGCCGCGGTCCCGTTTCCGCAATTGGTCGGATTTTTACTGTGGCGCATTTAATAATAACAATAATAATAATGTATTTATTTCCCATTCTGGTTGGTACAAAAAAGGGAGGACGTCAGGACAAAAAGCTGCGGTTGCAGCTTGACGAGGTCCTGGCGCCCTAACACACTTTGGCGGGAAAGCAGCATTGGAAACACAACGAAAACACAAAAATCGACACTAAAACACAATCACGAGAATTCACATTGTTGCACTCAGCTTGAATGCATCAAAACAAATATTTTTAAAGTAGAAACAAGTTTCACCACAGATACAAAAACTCCAGGCACAAGAGGTAAAAATTATGCTGTCTGTAAAATGATTTTTGCCAACATCCGATTTGATGTCCCATAGATGCCGATACCATTGGCTTCGAGTTTATTAAGTAAAGATGGTAATGCGTATTTTAATGATGTAAAGCCGTAGGATTCATTCCGCTTTTATCGACAAAAATAGGGTCATTGCAAAAAAAAAAAAAAAAGTCAGGTTGCACTGTGCTGCAGTTGAGCATGCGACAGTACAATCTTCCATCAAGCTCTTTGCACACACCATCCAACTTGTCATTTGAAACTGCTGATAAGTATCCAGGATCACACTCTCTCCCCTTCCCCTGTCACGATTGGATGACTTTATCAAGAAATCGTGATGTATCCCATTCCTTCAATAAATACGTTTTCTCACTCACTCACTCTTCGCGACGGATTGAAATCTCGGCGCGAATACGGCTGCGGTAACCGAAATAACCTACGAGTCCTGCAAGGGAGCGTAACATTGCGTTTAGCAGACTGTAATTTTATATGTCGGTTCCATAATGGAAACTTTTACCTATAGGGAGTATTCACTGGCGGCCATAGCTGTGTGCGCGAATGCTGAGCGCGCGCTGAAGGCGAGCTTTCACAGTTCTTTTGCAACGTGCATTCCGCACCATCAAGAGTGCCGCTCTTAGCAGCCTATAGATGTGAGCTCGTTATGGGCATGCGCTCTAAACAGCACCACAAATATGGTGTTCAGTGAACACTCCCTATAGGCCTTTTTAGCTTACTTTCGTCCCCAGCCACCTGGTAATAATATCCTGTATGGGCGATGAAAAAAATAATAAAACATTTCAGCCTGCAAATAGTAAAAGTATAGAGGGGATAAAAAACGAGTATGGGTGACGGTTACGCTTATATCCTGAATGTATTTAATTAGCTTGGCAACGGCAAAACAATAGAGTGTTCTAGTAGATCGTTCAGTCACTCCCGCTACGCTATCTGCCATCCGCTACGACCTTTGCGGTTTGTAGCGTAGCGGAACCACCTTTTCAAGTTTTAGCAGAACGTTCGCAAACCACAGCAAATTACAACGCTACGAGAGCTGACGCAATGGCATTAGTGACGCTTTCAGATACTAAGTGTTGCGTAATAGAAACATTTGTAAAGCATTTCTTTGCAATTTTTCGTAAACCTCGTTTTTTAATATAATAGTATTTCTTCATTGAATAAGGTACTAATCTTCGCTTCTTTATTTTAGTAAATTACTGTTCTGTTTACGTTCAAATACAACGGACGGCCAAGCTGTCCAAGCCAATTCGATAGGAGTCAGGCGCCAAAGCCATTGAGAGAAATCTTCCAAAATAAACGACAACCGTAGTTCTTCCGTTGTATCGTTGCTCACCGAAAATGAGACGCCACAGAAATCCCTCAGATCCGCGATCTCGCTCGCTTCCTTAGTTGGTTCTGTCCTCACGACAAAGTGGTAGAGCAGGAGGCCGCACCCTTCGCTCACAACACCACGGATCGCAAAACTTCCCGTGGCCGTATTTAGCATGTCCGCCATAAATCGCTACCTGTTGCAGTCCTGGAACGGCTTTGTCGCGGCTACTTTTCGCAGCAGAAAGATATATAACCCGCCCATCAGAACCGCGATCGCGAACCGGTCAGACCGGACAGGCGCTGCGTGGCGGCCATCTTGAATTGCGTCCCTAGCTGGCTCTCCCTAATCTCGTCGAGCCTCGTTCTCTCCAGACCCGCGCTAGCACGCCGCGCTACGCTCCTCGCTATTTTGGTCACACACATGTACGACGAAGCCTTCCGATCCCACGTGCGGACTGCCGGAATGACCTTGGGGGGTGAGGGTTTTCGTAGCATCAGAGAGCATTGAGAACCCTCGCCTCCGACCGTCGTATTGCGTGGTCGGACGTCGGATCGGACGGTTTCGTCGTACATTTGTTTTGCGCAGCCCGCTACCGCGAGCTTCTACAGTTCCGCAATGCTATTGCTAGCAAAACGCATGCGTAGTAGTGTCGTCGCTCTAGCGAATAGAATAGCGGGAGGGTCAAAACAATCGACTAAAACTCTCTAATGTTTTTTTCCCCATACCTGAAGTGACGATCTTTCAAGATGGCGGCGCCCTCGTGAAAAAGGTCTATACACCGTGTCACAAGCTGCGTGCAGACCAGGCGAAAGCAACGCCAGTCGGGGGAAGAAAGGGCAAGCACTAGAAAGGCTGGGGAGGAGGAGGGAATCCTCCTCTGCATCCTAACGTTCCTAATAGTGCTCTCCTTTTTTCCCCTCGCCATCCATTGCATTCCACTCCCGTCCCGCCTTCCTAGTACTCGCCCTTTTTCTCTTTGCAGGGCGTTGTTTTCGCCAGTACTGCACACAAGTAGTGATACGGTGTTTAGTCTACCTTTAACAAAAAGTTGTTAGCGAGCAGGTTAGCTGGTGGCGATTTACGAAGCTGCAAATTAACCTGAGACTGGAGTAAGACAACGCGGAAAGTTGCGTGACATTCAGTTTTCTTGCTGCACCTGTTCCAAGTCGCTTCGCATCGTTGTAACTTGCTTTTTCTCCGTGCTACTCGTCGCACTTAGCTCGTTTTGTCCTGCTGGAACACGTCACATTTAGGAATCGTTTAATTTTATTTTATTACCTCAAGGCTCTATGTGAGGCACTATATAAAGCCAAAGCATAACATTTTATTTTATTTTTTCTTAACGAATTATTTATTTTATAACGCTGCGAGAAAGAATAGAAGGAAGCTCTTTGCTCCTATACGACTCCTTCAATTTACAGAGAATGAAACAGAAAAGTATAGCATAGAAAGCTCTAATTCTATCTATGGTGGACAATATTTTGGCTAACCAGAATACCAGTTGGTTTTCTCACATGGCAGATGTAGTGGGCAAAATCGACGGCATTAAGAAAAGCTTGGCTATTGGATCAATTCTAAATGCAACTAAGAACCGCATAACTGTCTCGTACTTGCTTAAAGGGATGCTGAACCGAAATCTGGATTTCTCAAAACACGCGGTAAAAGCGTGCAACGGGATACTGCAAACACCAAAACATCACTCATACAGCGATATCTCAAACGGATGACCGTATTTTTCAAAAAAGGAGGCGCATTTGGCAGAGATGTTGACGTCATGTTTCTCCTAGAAGGAGAGGGAACGGCCTCGCGTCTTCTCCGCGTCGCCGCCTTGAGGGTGCGAAGCGAAGAGAGGAGGAAACATAGGTATCTTGACGTCACGCGCCTCGTCGGCCTGGTTCAATCTCGACCTCTTTTTCCAAAAATACGGCCGTCCATTGAAGATAGTGCCTTACGAGTAGTGTTGTAGGGATTGTAGCGTCCTGCCTACATCTCCTGCATTGTTTTTTTGAAATCCAAATTTCGGTTCACCATCCCTTTAAAGGACACATGCAAAGGAAAAAAAAACATTTTTTTTAAACGGCTTAGATGGAAAAGGGACGCCATAAAACGATTTTACAACGAAGAAAAAAAAATTTAGAGCTATATTTACGGCGCAAAACGAATTTGTAGTTGGCGCCCGCGGGCACCGCGGGAAAGTGGTCCGTGTTTATCACGTGACTGGTCCTTATTTATCACGTGGTGCTTGCGTTCTTTCGGAAGCTTCCTATGGCCTCTAAAAGTAACTTATTCATCTTTGTTTGAAGTATAACAAAAAAACTAAAATGAATAAGTAACTTTTAGAGCTCAAAGGAAACTCCTGAAAAAGCGCAAGCAGACGTGATAGACCTGTGCGCCGGTCAGACGACGGCGGCGATGCCCCGAAGCAGACGAACTTGTGCGGCGGCGGCGACGGCGGCGTGGAGAAACGCGTTGAAGCGGCGTTCGCACAACGCTCAGCGTGCGGCGGTAACGCAGCGCGGCGGCGCGCGGGCCTACCACGTGACCAGCGGCGGCTCCCGCGAGCGCCAGCTATAAATTCGTATAGCGCCGTAAATATAGCTCTAAAATTTTTTTCTTCGTTGTAAAATCGTTTTATGACATCCTTTTTCCATCTAAGCTGTCTAAAAAAAATGTTTTTTTCCTTTGCATGTGTCCTTTAACGTAGCCAAGAATCGAAAGAATCTAGAGAAAGGCTCAATACATGAACATATTAGTATTATTCGGCAACGATCAAATTAATATTAGGGTTAAAATTACATAAGCTTTTCATCCACCGGATCGAACAGGATTAATAAAGCAAAAAAGACATGATGCGTTTAAATATTTATTATTCCCTCGAGCAACAAATGTCGGAAATCCCTTGAAAATGACGTACTGACAATTTTCCCAACTCAAAATTTTACTGCTGCACTTTACACCATGCTTTCTTAAACCTATAATTGTGTGCTCACGTTTATCTTTGGTGTCCCAAAAAAATTACAGGTTTCTTTTTTTTTTCATCACAAAAATAAATTATGTTTTGCCGAACCCTCGTTTTCTACTCAAATGTAGGGCTAGAGGTCCGAACCAGATGCTAAAGTTTCAGCACTAAGCGTTATCGTATTCAAAAGTTATAAATTATTTTCTAAAAAAATATAATGTCAAAATGGCGACCGATCGAGCTCTCGAATATACGGAGCTCTATGGCGCCAGTGACCGAAAATGGACGCAAATGGTCCCCATTTTCCCGTTCAAAACTCGAGAAAATACCTTGCTCATAGACCTTTTTCACAAGGGTGTCGCCATCTTGAATTGTCGTCACTTCCAGTATGGGCGAAAACATAGTTTTGCCGTCGCCACGCTAATAAAATGCATTTAGAAGATAAGCGTAACCGTCAGCCATTCTCGTTTTGTCTCCCCTCTATTTTTTTACTATTTGCAGATAGAAACCTTTTAATATGTTTTTAGAGCGCAGCTCTTAGGGGCCCGTTCCCGGCTTGAGCGGCGTCGCCGTCGGCGTAACCAAGGTCATCCCAAGGTCACTTGACCCCCAAGGTCATCCCAAGGTCACGTGACCCCCAAGGTCACGTGACACCCAAAGTCATGTGGCTTCCGAAGTCACGTGACCCCCGGGGTCACGTGACCCCCGATGACGTCATCAGTGACGTCACTGATGACGTCACCGGCATCCTCATCGTCAGCGTCATGATCACTGATGACGTCATCAGTGACGTCACTGATCACGTCACCGGCATCCGCATCGTCATCGTCATCATCACTGATGACGTCACCGGCATCCGCATCGTCATTGTCATCATCACTGATGACGTCATCAGTGACGTTACTGATGACGTCACCGGCATCCGCATCGTCATCGTCATCATCACTGATGATGTCACCGGCATCCGCAACGTCATCGTCATCATCGCTGATGACGTCATCAGTGATGTCACTGATGACGTCACCGGCATCCGCATCGTCATCGTCACTGATGACGTCACCGGCATTCGCATCGTCATTGTCATCATTACTGATGACGTCATCAGTGACGTCACTGATGACGTCACCGGCATCCGCATCGTCATCGTCATCATCACTGGTGATGTCACCGGCATCCGCATCGTCATCGTCATGATCACTGATGACGTCATCAGTGACGTCACTGATGACATCACCGGCATCCGTATCGTCATCGTCATCATCGCTGATGACGTCACCGGCATCCGCATCGTCAATGTCATCATCACTGATGACGTCATCAGTGACGTCACTGATGACGTCACCGGCATCCGCATCGCCATCGTCATCATCACTGATGATGTCACCGGCATCCGCATCGTCATCGTCATCATCGCTGATGACGTCATCAGTGACGTCACTGATGACGTCACCGGCATCGTCATCATCACTGATGACGTCACCGGCATTCGCATCGTCATTGTCATCATCACTGATGACGTCATCAGTGACGTCACTGATGACGTCATCGGTATCCGCATCGTCATCGTTACTGATGACGTCATCGGCATCGTCATCGTCACGTGACCCCCCCTAAGTCACGTGACCCCCACCCAAGGTCACTTGACCCCCCCCCCAGTACCCTTCCCTCCTCCTCCTCAAGAGCTGCGCTCTAATTCGGCATTACAGGGAGTTGTAAACGGCTTTCACTTTTTTTGTCGCCCATACCGGATATGCATTCTTGGCGGTCGTCTATATCAAACATTGTATTCTACTTCAGCCACGACTTTCTGTGGGTATCCGCAGCATAGTAAAAAAAAAAACAAAAAAAAAAACACTGTTAGTTTTGTTACTGTGTAGCTTACTGGGTGAGGTGCCCCAGGATGTCTATCTCGAGCCCGCCCTCGGTCTTCTGGGCGTACTCCAGGATGAGTAGGAGCAGGTGGTTGGTGATGATGAGGTCCACGAGCAGTTGGCCGGGCATGGCCGCCCACTTGCGGATCAGCAGCAGCGGGATGTTGCGAAGGTCCTCCAGCTTGGCCAGGGACACTGCGAGGGAGTCGGGGCGAGAGGGAAACATTATGGCCAGGGGCGTCCACGGAGGCGACAGGGGCATCCCGCTTTGGAACCTGTCTCACCGCAGATTCTCCGCATGTCGTCGCCCTTGCAGCGGCTGTTGTACGTTCCGATGGCGGCGATGAGCTCCCGGAAGGCCCGGACCACGAGGTGGTACCTGCGCCGTCCACCAAGGTTGCAACAGCGCGGCATAGAGTGCCTAAGTGTAAGGTCTAAACTAGGGAGCCTTCATGTGCGCTTTGCTAGGGTGATGCCACCCTTTGTAATACCACTCGCCGACAAACCAGCAGCCATTTTGTTCCTCGGCGATAATCCGTGGGGCATAACCCTCCCGGAAACAAGCACCTTATCTCAGAAGTTCGGAGCAGCGTTGTGGAACCCACGGAGGGAGGATTAGCATTTTCCCCCTCGGATGGGATTACCGGTGGACACAAAGGCCACTTTCCGGCGCACGGGGAAACAATGAGAGAAACAAAATGGCGGGGGAAGAGGGTGTGGGAAAGGGAAACAGGCAGTTGGCATCACTCTATGCGAAGCGCACATGAAGGCACTCTAGTCTAAACTATACGAGGAGCGGTTGCTTGAATCGCGAGATCAACCGCGATATCAACCGGACCACGAAGGGCAAGTCGAAAGACGACGTACACCACGCCGTGGTGGACGTCGTCCTCCTGCTCGTGCTTCTTGGCGCTTTTATTATCTACAGTACGAGAAGCGGCTTTTGGAGCGATCATCTGCTACCCATTTTTTCCCGGCGAATAGCATGGGTGGAATAGAGGCAGCATTCGTCTGCGGCGTCACCCTGATTGATGCACTCTAATTTAATTGGACCTTTGCCTTAGGAGCGCATTAAACTCGTAAAAAGAAGACTGACGAGCGAAATACGTAAATCAGGATGATGGCAGTCTGTAAGAAGACTGACTAGCGAAATACGTAAATTAGGATGATCGCAGTCTGTCCTGATAGATTTTGTCTGTCCCGATAAATTTTGGTTGAAGTATCTGCCTCTTTGTACTTTTGTCTCCAGCGTTGTTTTTTCTGTTATGTTGGACGATTACGTAATACTGCAGTTTTTCACGTTTACTCAAGCAAGTCACTTTGTAGTGTAAAAATACCTCGAAGTTTGCCATAAAGAGCGCTCCATGCGACTTAAAGCAGGGGGCCCATTGGAGCCAATACTGCCCATGGTCCACTGCTGACGGCTGCTGGCCATCAAGTAGTTCTCAAACTTCCAACCTCAATAAGCCTTAAAGGAAAATTGAAGCGGTTCTGTATTTGAGGAAAAACACCTGAATTGTCATCATTCGGCCTCTAGGGTAACGATTATCGAGATTATGTTTTGAGTTGGCGTACGGAGGCTGCAGAAATTAATTTTCACAGTACCGCTGAAGCCCCTCCTTCCCGGGGCGTGACGTCATATCAGGACTTTTCGGAATCTCCGCTCTCGCGCATCTACAGCGCCTGTCAAAACTATGCACGCGCACTCTCGCTATGTTCATAAAAGGCAGCAACAGACGTCACGACTGAAATGTACCTGGCAAGCATGCAATTTCACGTGCTGCCCACACGAGCGACGCGCGCTTGGCGGCCCAAAGATCCTAGTATGACGTCGCGTCTGGCCGGAGGTTTTTCGTGTTTTCTCGCGTTTAGTTACATCTTCGGACGAAACGAACGTGATATTCAGATTCAGGGGATAAAAATTCCGTCAGAATTCACATCCGACTCTTTTTTTCTTTCAAGAAGCTTCTTTTTAAGATGCAAGTTGTCAATTTTTCGTTGTTGCTGAGATAGTTAGTCTGACTGGAAGTGCACGGCGTCGGGCGCTTCAAGCAGCGACGCCGTTGGTCATTTTCGCAGTATTGACAAACGAGCCACCGTCATTTAGATAACAGCCACTGATGGTACGAAACCAGAGCGCTGTGCAGATAGAAAGAACCTCATGGCTGCGCTCCTGCTTTTCGATATGCTCGAGATAACCTCCCTAGTGATGCTGTGAATGTGAAATCCACGAATTGATCCAGAAACCATAAATGGTCAATTTTAAATGTCGTTTTAGCAAACGACGTGCCGCGCGAAGTTTATGGAGAGGGAACCGGTTGTATAAGGGGTGAATAAGTAAAGCGTATTTCGGGGGGGGGGGGGGGGGGGGGGCAATTTTGCAAGAGCAAATTTTTTGAGTGAACAACCTAAATGTTATATGTTTTTAATTTTAACAACAATAATGAAACATTAGCTGTTGGTTGTAACTAGCTTTTGAACTCTATAATCCTCTGTATTCCCTATAATGGATGTTTTATTTTAATTCAAACATATTCATATAGAAAGCAAGCCGAGGTAGATAGGCTAATGAGGTCTGTTCAGTTGAGTTATTCGACCAAGGGGACATACGGGACTAATCCTCCCGATAAGTAGAACAGTTGACAAAAAAAAAAAAAGTTAACTAACTTTCTTATTAGTGAAAATAAACATATGTTTCCAATTAGAAACTTGCTGAGCGTCGTGTAAAATCAATAAATCAACCATTGTGGAAGGACCTGAAGCACGTGCTAAGCGCGAGGGTGCGCCGATAAACTTTTTATTAATGTTTTTGCACCGCCTGTTGCACGACTGCAAACTTCAGCGCATCGATCCTCGTCATTAAAAAATTAACTGGTTTAGTGGTTTTAGATGGCACTCAGCATGTGCCTAATTGCAATCATATATTTATTTTCACTAATTAAGTACAGGATGAACTGATGTAATCTAAATATTTCGCGTTTCGGGAGGATTATCCTCATATATTACGTCCCGCTGGACGTGTAACTCACGTGCACAAACCGCAGTAGTTTTTATATTTCAGGGCGTTCACCATTTGAATTTGTTGAAAATAAAATCAGACAGTGTATAATCGAAGTTCCCTTAAAGATGTCTTTTCGAAAATTTAACGTTCTTGCCCAGGAAAAAAAAGCAAATGAAAGCCTTCTCTTTCCGAAGAAAGATAATGTGAGGAAACAAACCCGTTCGAAAGCTAGGTGTCACAAACAAGCCTCGCATTCTCATACCATTTGTGCGGGGGTTTAGTCAGTGCCGACAAGATGAAAGAGGGAGGGAGAAGTTTCAGTTGCCCCGTTTCCAGCGCAAGCTTAGATAAGGACAGAACGAGCAGGTTGGTAGGGACAACTAAACTTGAGGAAGAAAACGAAAACTTCTCGTTTTCTTTCTCAAGTTTAAGCTTAGATAACCTTGGGCATCTCGAAGCTCAAGAGTACACGCGCTACCAAAGCAGGGTGGAAGGCAACGAGGAGGTACTCTTTCTAAAGAAACGCCGTCCCGTCCCCTGTGAGCGATTCCATATTCTGTTCACCCTTACCCAGATGCGCTCTGGACTGCAGCCAATGCCACAAGCACGTGCGCTTGAGGTCGCTACTTTGAAGCGTTCTTCCGCAGAACAAGTACTCGCGCCAGAAATGCACGTTTTAAATGCCAGGAGTGCGGGCTAGCTAAAGTTTGTAGTTTTGGCTGTAATCTCAACTTAAGGGCGAACGGGGTATAGCTGATTCCCGTTCCGCAAATTCCCGCGTGGTAAGAACGCTCGGGCACTCTCAACTGAAAGGTTCAACAGAAGCCAGCGAGAGAGAAACACGAACCTCTTCTTGAGCAGCTTGGAGCTCTCCGCCGAGTTGTGCGCGTCGAGGTCGAGTTCGTTACACACGGCGATGGCCTCGTAGACGAGCAGGCCGACCACCTCGACGGAGAGCACAGGCTTCACGTGGTGGAAGGACAGGCCAAGGGCCGTCGCCAGACCCGTGAAGTAGCCCACCACCCAAAGGAAGTGGCAGCGGTCGATCAGGCTGGCGCCCTTGTCCTGGTTCACCTTCTGTTTCAAGGGCGGCACGAAATAAGCCGCAGCAGCATGGGGCAATGATACGAACGGGTGGTCCGTCAGAAGCGTTTTACAAGGAACTCAAAAGCCTTTTTTTTTTAAGTTAGCAGTACATCTGGTATTCTCCACTTTCCTCACTCCCTCCATTCCCACATCCTGTCTACTTTTCGAATTGCGCCACCCCAACACGGCTGCCCTCGCAGTTTTAGAGGGGAAGGCGCTAAGGGTGTTATCTTCCCTGCAGAAAACAGGAGATCGTACGTCGACCTTTGAGACTGGTCCACACATTTGCGCTTGAGTGAGCTCCCATACGCTGTGTCCACTTGGTAGGTAGGTAGGAACGTTTATCTCACTTTTTTGTGTCCACTTGTGAACCGCCACACTGGCACCATCTGTCGAGTAGCCCTGGAGTACCTTTGGCCGGCATCTAACTAGACTGAAGGTTCGCGCTATTTTCGTGATCAAATTTCTGCACAATTTACAAAAAATCGTCGCTTATAACCTGGTCAGAACTATCCACGTCGAGAGAATGATGCGTGAAATAATTATGAAAATATATTCGGAAGTTTTGCCAGTGCTACCCCATAGATGGCGCCAATGTGGCAAGCGGATACGTAGGAACATAACGACCGTGGCACACTCAAACGAAAATGTGTGAAACAGCCTCAAGTTCAAAATGGCATGTCTGTACTAAGAGAGCAGAATGCGCTACGCCCAGAGCCGCCACTTCGTTGTTCACTGCAGGGCGAGCGTCACCCCAACCGGCAAAAAGAAATAATTAAGCCGGGGTCACACTACTTGTACCTCACAGAAAAGACAGTCTGCATACAGATTCGAACGCGAGTCACATCGAGATCAGTACCTCGAATGCCACGTGGCAGTCAGTTCGAGTAGAAACTTGGCACTCGGTATTCGAACCACGGACATTGCGGTGACTCCCGCTTGCAGGCTGACTTTATGACGTATGAGCAGTGTGACCCCGAGTTTCGGTACGCTGTGAAGAAGCTCAGACAGAATGTATTTACTTCGTCGAGGACATTTGAGGAGGACGGAAACGTGTTTTCTGCGATTCCAGACAGACCTTCAGATAACTGCCAGGAGTTTAAGCAACAGACCCCGAAACGCGGCCCATTTAGTGGCTGTCGTTCCTACAAAATGTGCCTTCGTCAGGTCATACACGCGAGTTCGGTCGCCAGCTTAATCTTGACGTAGAATACAACTTGGCGACGGCTTATTGGTAAAAGCGGAAGAGGTGAAAAAATTGAGAAGAAGACGCCATCAGGCCACGTGTCCTTGAACTTCGTAAGTAACTTGACTATTTACGTCATTAATCGCGCGATTAATAACGTCATCATAGGCGTGGCCACATGACGTCACGTCCGTGCACAGTGTAACCGCCGCGTCAAGGCTTCCTCGCGTGCTCACTTCCATTGGCTCGCGCAAGCACACCTGGGACCTTGGCGACAACCAATGGCATTTTTTTCGGAGGTCGCGGAATGAATTTCGGTATGTTCATGAACGATTGCGTTGAGATTTCTGACCGAAAAACAGTGTTACACATAGGTGATGAAGATTGTGTCAGGTACGACCTGTGTACTGCCACTAATTTTTTGTAAGTGTTGCTACCCAGGGTGTCCCCGAAAACAAAAACAGGATTTCTTTCACCGCAAAAATAAACTATCCATCTTCCAAACGCCCTTTTTCCGTCCAAAGTTAGTGCTGGAGGTTCGTACCAAATTCCACAGTTTCAGCACGAACCGATATTTGAATCAAAACTTATGTCATTTTCTGCAAATTTGAATGGGAAAATGCTGGTCGTCGGTGCGGTCGAATACACGGAGCTCTATGGGCGACAGAAACACGAAAACGGGACAGTATGGGCCCCATTTTCCCATCGAAAATTTCAGAAAATAACTGATAACTCTTAAATCAAATATTGATTCGCACTGAAACTTTGGCATGTGGTTCGCATCTTTAGCGCTGCCTTTGGGCAAAGCATGAGCGTTCGGCGGTGCGTAATTTATTTTTGCTGTGAAAAAACAAACAAACAAAAATAAACTCTAATCACTCCCGAAAAAAGTACGCATCGCACGAAAAAAAAAAAAAAAAGGTTGACGTCCTATTAGTCTTTTCCAAAGATCCTAGCTAGAAAAAAGTAAGAACGTTTAGTATTATTAGTTCCTCGATTCATTTTCAGCAATTACCTTTTTGATTAGTTAACCTAAAGGTATGGGCATTATTAGACTATTTATGGGCATCCTCGAAAACTACTAAATCAGCAATCTTTACAAAGCTCTTACATACCCGCAGCATTTTATGGCGTCCCGAATTAACACTGAATGGGGGCGCGTTTCTAGGTTTTGGTTCCCAATCAAAAAGCCTCTGTGCATCAGAGGTCCTGCTCTCTCGTAACCAAAGCGCGCAACTAACTTGCACCGCCACTCAATTTTTGCAGGACGGAGATGAACCGGAGAACAAAGCTTATTCTTGCAATGTCACTCGAACAGCACATGGTTTCAATATATCGGCGAGCGCCACCTTTTCTTTTCTCCCACGAGAGAGGCGTGGTTGCGCGCCTCTTCCATGGGGTGCAGAGCTGCTGGCACGAAGATGCGCACTGATAGGACACCGAAACCTGGGAACGCGTCCACATTTTGCGCGTCTTCGAAACACCATAAACTTCTGCACGTGCTTTTTTTTTTCTTTTTTTGTTTGGTGAGGCGCGATGATAGGGTGTTTTTCGTAGATGCTTACATAGTTTGTAATTGAAATCACGCCTTTAAAGGATCATTACTCAAAAGTAACTAAGAAATTATAAGTACACCGAACGGTATACACTTTCCCAAGTAGCCCTTGGGCAGGGACAAATATGCCATCAACTTTTTTTTCTGTGCGAAGCGTACTTTTTGCAGAAGCAATTCCATCCGCGTGTTGTGAAACATCCCATATATTGTGAGCAAAAACTGCGTAAACAGTGCCCAAGTTTATCGCTGTGTGAACAGCGTATAGACCAACCCGCTGTTTACAAACAAGTGATCCCACACCATGTGTTGGCACACCGCGCGTGCGCGGAAAACAGGATCGCGTGAATTGACTGCGCATGCGCCGTGCCTACAGCAGCACCACCGCAGCAACCTGACGTCAGAGCGGTGTGTTGGTCTAGGACACGCAACCCTTCAGTTCTACTCGTGGCGATTTGAGGGCGGTTCCTGATTTCAGATAGGGTTTCGGAATAGACAAAGGGGCATCTGATTGTTATCTTAGTCTACCTGTTTGATGCATTCAGATTTACTCGTGAAATCCGGATGTTCCAGGTTTTTATGTCTCCTGCGATAGCGTGAATGTACATTTATTTAGTCGATTCGCCATTATGCTGAATGCCGTCTTTCCGAAGTGAATGTAATTTGTGGAGCTATATCTCTTAGTAGTTATTAGGCCACACATGGTGAAAATGAGACCATGCTGCATTTCGTGGTCCCTTCGGGAAAGCAAACCTCCGAAAAAGAGCGGCGGAACTCACCATAAGCTCGACGACCAAAGCTCCGAAGCCGCTGTGCAAGAAACTGATGGTGAAGCTCTGGAGGATGTTGCTAAAGAGAGAGGGAGAGGGGATGGGAAGGAAGAGACGTTCATCAGGTTGTCCCGAGGCATATTCTGAACGAAATAAGGCATGCCATGGCGAATACTTCGCGTGAATCGTCACGGGCAACACTGCACGTCTCCCGCTGGTTGGATCTGGAATCCCGTGGCATATTTCTGTTGCTAAAATGCACGAGAATAGCACGCGCGAAATAAAACAACATCATATGCACAGTACCAAGCCAACCAGTCTTCCATGAACCTTCCAGCCTAGCGACTCTCAAGAAATCTACCGATTTCCCCAAAATTTCGATTAAACACACCCCGAAAATAACATAAATATAAAATAAGGTAAAAAGAAATACGAAAACTTTTTTGGTGGCGCTTGCCTGAGTGTGCTTATTCAACATAATTCTTTTGAGATGAAATAAAACTAAGAGCAAGACCTGAAATGGTTAAGGTGCGCGAATCGTTCGTGTGAGTAGAAAATAGAATGTGAAATGTGTGTTTCGTTTTAGTCAAGCATGTGCGATGAACGTTTTGCTCTGATCTTGGGAATATTTTTTCACTTTAAGACCCATAACGTAAGAGCGGTTTATTCATACTAGCGACCTCATCGCATTGGACTTCAGGATGTGGCACTGACTTGGCAGGTATTTATTTAGGTACGCTTCGAATTGAACGAAAGAGATTTGGCCTTTCGAGGAAGGCCATGGAGACAAAATCCAGTTAAAGTACTCGCTACGCGCTTATATGTGTTAATTATATTTTGTAGAAAAAAGAAAAATCGCGCACGTTTATTATATTTTTATGACAGAAGTCTTTATATGGAAGTTTCAATTAAGAGTCAAAAATTCCTATCAATTGAGGTGGTGATTTTGTAGAAAAAGTCTCACCTTAATTGAGGGTTAAAAAAAATCTTATGGAACAAACTGCCAGCTACGGCGGACTTCAGGGATTACAAGTAAAAATTATAATCGAATAGATACTTAACAAAAATGTTGTAAAAATAAACATATGGTTCTAATTAAGAGCTTGCTGAGTGTCATCAAAACCCACAAATTAGTCAATTTTAGGAAGACTTAAAGCACGCGTGTGAAACGTACGGGTCCGCTGAAGTTTTCACTCGTGAAGCAGATGCGGAAACATGGTGATGTTCTTATAATTAATTCTATCCCATTACCTTTTCATCTGGTTTATCTGGTTAGGTTACATATTTATGTATTTATTTATTTACCCTAAATACCCTTTCGGTCATTACATAAGGGGGGGGGTCATAAGCACAATTACTAATAATCTATGAAAGTAAAAAAAAAAACAAAAAAAACAAAGAAAATACTGTTGGCAGATAAAAAAACAAAGAAACCAAAAATGCACACATAAACAACCTTCTTAACAATGAGAGACCACTATACCTTTTTATACTTTAGCTATTGAAGTGGTGAACATTTGGGCCGAGATGATCGACACAATATCGCTGGGTAGTCTGTTCCATTCGGAGATGGTGAGGAGAAGTGGAGAGTTTTTTAACAGGTTGGTGTGGGCAAAGATGGGACGTACTTTGAAGGGACGGCCGACGCGAGATGAAACGTATGTACGCTTGACTAAAATGAGATGAGCCGTGATCGAGCTTGTGAAAGAAAGACATGCGAGCATTGCGTCTTCGACAGATAAGGGGCGAGAGGTTGAGAGAAAGTTTTGTGTTTGTCGCGCCTCAAGTACGAGAATAGTTCTTAGCGATGAAACTGGCAGCTTTAGTTCCGCGATATTACTTGGCAGCTTTAGTGCCGCGATATTACTTGGTTAAATACATCTCGGTGAAGACTGCTAAAGATGTGTTAAACCTAGCATCTAATTGACGGAGACCAACAAAAGACCCATAATCACAAAGCAAAAGAAAAAAAAACACTACGCAACACTGGTGAAGGTTTAGGGTTGATAACCTTTCAAACTTTTTTTTTTGTATCGCGTCATAACACATTTGAAACACTTTCATCGAAAAAGCACTGTTGGGCGGTTTTTATTTTTATTTTTTGCAAAACACAGAGTGATCTTTATTAACGGTCCAATCACTTGGCTTTTCAGAGTGAAGGGCACGTCTGTACAGGCGCTTCTTTTTCGGTATACATATTTTAAGTTTGGTTGTAAATGAAGGTTTGTGCAAGCTAGGGACGATTACTAAAGTAGGCACACATGCTGTTTGAGCTTCTAACATTTTATCCCGTAAAGTCATCCAGTTTTCGTTAACCGTCCGTTCATCAAAACCACTAAGACATGCACTTCAGAACTCGCATAACATCGACTTTAAAGGTTCTGAGCCAACTCTTTTTAGAGTCAAATATTACTTGCTTTGCTAAGTCCCGCTTATTAACGACAGAAAAAAAAAAGTCAGATGACTTATTAACAACCAGGAATAAACCAGATGAAAATATTGCTTTTCGTTTTTATGACTCTGAGGTTTTTTCTCCATATAGTCCGACCGTGTAATGAGCTTGGCAAAGTTCTATGTCTACTTTCATTGATTGTTTTAAGGACAAAAGGAGCTTGCATAGTTACGATGACCGCCGTAAGCCTGCGGCCGTAACAGAGTTTCTCATAGAAAGGAGCTGCCCTCATAAAAGGCACGTGACAGATACCTCACGTAAGTCGTACTTAATGTATGCCACCTTTCGGTTAAAGCACAAAAGAAGCAGAAGTGCGCACGTGGCGTTCATGGACGTCAGTTCAGCGAGGAGAAACCGTCTATTATTAGAGCCCTCGCGACGAGCTCGCCTGCAGTGAGCTCGTTACGGCGGCCCACGTTACGCGGGCGTATTCGGTGTTCGGTTTTACGCATACCTGCCGCACCAGCATCAAAGCGCTCTGGGTGGTATAATACTGCGCGTATTGAATCGTGCTCTGGCGACAATAAAAGAGGTTGTCCTATTTCTGATTTGATTGAATAGATTGATGTTACTGTTTTTGTACAACTAGCCCGCCAGAATATTTTAATGATGTTACTGTTTTTGCTGTATGTTAGACTGCTGTCCGTAAAAACATGTATATTAAAAACAAAACAAAAAAACTGGCAGTATTGAAGTTCTGTAGGTACAGACAGGTTGATTATGGAGGGATCTGAAAGATTTGTGGCTTTCCAGTGGGGACGTGTTATATAAAGTAGTTCTGAAGTAGGTTCAAACCACTAATCATCATTTCATTCATGAAGCAGAAAAATATAATACATCGATACGTGAACAACACAAGAACCGCTGCCGTTAAGGAAGCAGCGAATAATGGCCAGGATACCTTTCCAAACTATAACCTCTCTCCTCGCTCGACTGCTAAGTGAGATCTGTGATAGGCTGAAGCGATGCCATCTTTAACCGAAATCGTTCCCATCAACGACGACAACACGCAGACGAGTTTACATTAAAGGACCAGCTTTGGGCTCTAGGATACGGGAAACGTGAGTGTCCGAGATTGCACCGCTGCAGCAGATCATAACTCTCACTCGGCAGTCTCCATAAGCAATGGGTGAGGAGAGAGTGGCTTAGTAGGGAAGGGTAGGGTGTCCTAGATGTGCGATCCCAACATTGGCCGGTGTTGAATGGTGCCCCGGGGCGCGTTAATCCAACAGAAATTCAGCGACTCTGCGCTCCGTCACTTGCTAGTCGCGCTGGGAGCCGTACTCTGCGTACAACCTCACGGGTTCTGCAGGTGTTTCACTTTTGCCTCGAATGCCTACGCGAAAACAGGGAACTTTGTATTTCGTACGGTATTATGTTACTCTCAGAATGCTTGGAATTCAGTGCTTGCGAGTGTTTTCTTGGTGGAAGTTCGTATCTTTAAGTCGTACTCTCTGTTGAAGATCCTGGTCAGAACCAATTTGAACTTCTATCCTCTGCTTCATTTTTTGCGCGTTAAAAGTGTAACCCTGATGAAGTACGCAGAAGCTCCCAATGACCGAGCGACATCGCTGGATTTCTATATACTAACGCACCCCTGGACTGCCGTGTGAACTGGAGGAAACACGAGCGAGCGGAGATGCTCATGTTACGTCTGAGAGTAGGCAGAAGCAAAAATACAAAACTTCCTGAGTTAAGCTTAAAGAAAATAATCAGGTAGGAAGTTGCACTACGGGGGGCCAAAGTGAGGGATTTTTTTTTTTTTCAATTAGGCAGTAGTACGAAAAGAACAAAACCAGGTGTTAATGTTTTAAGGTTTTATAAAAACTGTGGCGTGACGGAGGATAGATTACCTCCGATGACCCCTGTAGGCTACAAATGAAATGACTAGGGGCCCCCCGTAGATAAGGTTACCGTTCGCCCTTCGAACTCTTCCACCACAACTAGCGTCCACACGAGTCCGCCGCGGCGGTCCAAGAGCACGTCGGTTGGAAGGCCGTCCTCGATCTGAAAATCTCTTCAACAAGAACACAGGCAGCGGTCTGGCAAGTGTCAAGTCACAAGGCGAAAGTCATTGTAAGATTGACGGACGTGGACACGTGTGTGAGACGGTCACCGGCAGTAGAGAAAGAACGGCAACAAGAGATGACCACAGAGATACCTACTTCAATTTTCGTGCAAAGTACCACCTGGAACAGAACTTTCAAAGAAAAAACAGCAACACGAAAGAGACGGAGAGAATGCAAACATTTAGTGCAAGCAAAGCATCCACTGACTTTCTTAAAAAAGTGGGGTGGGTGAGTTTTTTTAAGGCTTAAATGAGAGCGTGGAGCCGTGAAAAATAGTTAAAATTCAGAGGGACATATTAGACACTGATGATGGCGCCTCATCCAACTGAGCACTATAAACATTTTATAACGCATCATGTGGTAATCTTCAGATTTGAAGTTTTTACTGAGCCCTTCGTAACTTGTAATGATGATCAGAATAATAAAATGCTTGATTTCGAAGTTATTTCAAATTATTTTGATTATGCGATGTATCGCATTGCATCCTTAAGAATTTTATGTATACAGGACATTCGTCTTGCAACGTTTACTGTTGGTGTACACCTAGTGAAGAGGGTCCTCAAGTTCATCTCTAATTTTCCTACCACACTGTTTCGTCGTTAATATGTGACTCCGAATGACTCTCTCACCAGAGGTAGCCTCGCTAAAACTACTTGTAAACAACGGAACATCCAGTAATTCCACTCAGAAGTAAAGCAGCTAATGCACCTTCACAAGGCTAGAACCGGCACGCCGAAACCATTACAGCTTGGACTGAACCTTCAGCGACTAGTGGTGCGCGCGGGCTTTCGCTGCCTTAGACGTGGGCAATCTCAATTCCGTATCACGTACCAGGGTATGTTCATGGACGAAGGTAGAATCTTGTCTACGGTAGTTGGAAAATGTAGGACATCAGATATACGGCTATAGGGGTGATGGGCGGGTCGGCCGTGGGCTCTATGTTGAGAACAGGGTGGTCCCGGCCAGTTACCTGATGTCATCGTTTGACGGCACGTGCGCAGACACGTCCAGGAGGACGAGGGTCTTTTTGCGGTCCCAAACCGGGTCTCTGAGAGTTGACCGGAACTCCAGCGAGGACACTGCGGCTTCTAGGCACACAGAGGGCGTGCATTTGCCGCCTTTGAGCTGGCTCTTGCTCTTGCGAGACATGGCCACAAGGCTTCGTTGTTTGGAACGTGCCAGTAACTCGTCCTCGTTGGAGGAGTCGCTACCAGAGGGGCTGTCGGCAGAGTGCATGGCCCTGTGCTTGGCAGAAGCCTTGTGGTGGGGGTCCTTGATGTGCTCCTTGACCTGCCCGTGCAATACCGAGTTTGAGAACCGTGCAAGCTTCACGAGGTCCGTGTTTGAGCTTTTTGAGCCACTGGGTCGAGGAGATTGCCCAAACGCTGAAACACTTCGAGTTTTCCGCCTGTTGAAGTTACGATAGCGCAACACAAACAGCACCAGCATGATTTGTGCTAGGCTGGAATGCGTTTTTAAATTAGGCGAGACAGACTAGAAAAGGAACTCTCATTTCAGTCGGGAATATCCCAGTTGAAAGCACTCGCAAGGTTTACTGAATGGGCTATTTCACTCATTGATTGGTTGCTTCTGGCAAGACAATAAAATGGCAGCCCTCTGTTTCGAATGGCCAGTAATATATCACGGTCAAAACAGTGAATTACGTTTCACTTATGTTTTTAGTGACCATAACGTCCTTTAACTAGCTATAAAATCGTCTTGGAGATCACAGTGGTTGGTTTTTAGCACGCTTTGCTTAAAAGCGAGCGGATTATTATTTACGGTTTCGAAATGCTTAAGAGAAAATTCAATCACTGACCTGATTATCCTCGTCAGACGAGGAGGACTGGCCGTTTGACGATGACGTCAGGTTGTCGGCGCTGGCGCTGGACGTGGACAGTTCCCTAGTCGGGTCTCCCTTGTCCCGGCCCGACATTCGGCTGTTGTTGGAACAGCTGGTGAAGTCCGACTGGCAGTAGCCGGAGTCTCCAGCCGTGGACGGGGGACCCGAGCTATTGACTGCGGTGCCGCCGACGAGTTTGTTCAGGGACTGCTGCTGCACAGAGTCGTTGCTGCTCGTGTGGTGCATCGAGTGCTTGGACGTGTTGCTCTCGATGTCGTCCTCCGAGCTCTCGGACGTCGACGTTGAGTTGGAGATGAGGTGCTGCAGACTGCCCACATCCTGTGGGCAGCGTTCCAGGCAGGGTTCACAAGAGCGAGGTGCGGTCTGCGACGCCAAAGCCGGTTCGCGGCCTGTCACGCGCGTTGCCCCAGTACCGGGCCCCACTGGGCGGGCATCCAACCAACTGTGTTCGCGGACACGAGAATAACAGCTGGTTGTTCCCGAGGTCACTATAAAAAGCCTAGATTTGAAGGAGAGAGAAGCTTACACACTAGGGAGTGTTTTGCAGTTCAATGGCAGACGCCTCCTGCATCGGCTAATCGGAACTCTGTCCGTTTCCCTGAGGGTAAAGTAAATGCATGAATAAATAAAAAGTGCGCCTGCGCTGAGCTGTCGGCTGGCGAAAACGGAAAGGCTGCAACGCTTGGAGACGACGAACGCTTTCGTCAAGTCCTCGCAGCTCGTGTTGCTGACGCGGCTCATCAACCACGTGACTCCGATAGAGCATTTGGAAACTAAAATCTCTGTAGGTCACTCTTGTCTCAAGAGGCGACACCTGTTGGCAGAAATGGTCGTCTGCTTCCGGATGGTGATACTGAACCAGAAACCTGTTCTTGACGTATCTAGGAGAAGAGTTGGTTGCATGTTCGCCAAGGGGGACTCGGCCATACGACGCTGCGTGCGGGTGTGTTTTCTGGGCGTCACTCGGGACCTCTTAAACACTTGGGACCGTTTCGGACGCACACATAGCGTTTTATGCTTTGAGCCAGCAGCGTTGTTTCCATGATGGCTGGAGCGCCTATCGTGCTCTGTTCAATATATCTTTACTGGTTTGATATTGAGAACGGTATTCTCGGAGTTGGACACTCCGATGCTACATTAGAAGGGTTAGAGCGTCAAATGGATGTTTATTTTATAATCGACGCGCCGAAATAAACCAATGCACTTTTTTTTTTTTTTTTGCTACAAAATGACAAGCGATTACGACACTATGGCCTGGTTTAGGTTAAGAAATCAGGAGAAGCCGCTCCCGCAAAGCCCTACACTTTACTTTCTAGAAAAGCAATCGCTGAACAGGAGGCGACGGGGAACTCGTCTCCTTTTCCAGCTATGGCTTTGCTATAAAGTAAAGAGTAGAGGGCTCTACGGGAGGGGATTGTTTTGGTTTCTTTACCTGCAAAGGACTATAACAACCGCAGTGATGGCAAATGTTTTCGTATTCTTGTTCACGGTACCGTTACATATTGTCCAATCATTCTTAAATGGAATGTATCTTTGTCAGCATCAGCTAAAAATTTATACATCACTAAGTTGGTATTTATAACTTACCGCAAAGTAATGTGTTTTGAAGTGATATCATAGGAAAAAGCAATAGTCCTTTTTTTTTCGGGGGGGGGGGGGGTTATTATTACTCCAATACTCATCAATTTAATTTAAGTTGTCTACACTTAAAGCAACAAGCGCCATTTCAAGGAAGAGCTGAATTCGCGGGACGTTTCCTTAGGAAAAAAGCTATCGTCGGTGTGTTTGGGATAATTCAGCTGAAACTTAAATACCAAAATGGCGAGGAATGTTCGATTTCAATAGACCGGTCTCACCAAGCGTTCGGCGCATGCGTGACGCCACCATAACATTTAGTTCACGGGAGACAGACGGCCGTGCATGCGAGGGCTTCGTGCCGTCTCCTGCTCCACACGCGCAGAGCTCCAGCAAGGTTATAGCGCGTGCAGAAAGACTAAAGTTCCATCGATACATTGCGGCAGTGGTGGCGTAGTCAAACTGGCTGGTGAGATCGGTCTATTAAAATTATCTTGAAATCCATACGCAAGCACAAAGCACAACCCGCAAAAAAAAAAAAAGAAATAAAGCCCTACCTGATCTTTATATAGAAGTGCGATGATCTGAACAGCCACGACGGCCCAGTTAACCTGCACGAGGACGAAGAATTGCACCGATAAAATTAAAGGCAGCCAAAAAATGTTCAGATGGTTTATGGTGACTTGTTTACCAAGTATAAATTGTGAGGTAAACATTAAAATCTAGTTTAGACAGTGAAGCCAGCACGCACCTTGTACTCGCTATTCAGCATAAGGATGAGAACACCGTCAAGACCATGTACGAAGAGGTTCCTTGGAGAGAGAAGATTACCATTACTGAAAGAACGGACTGTTTCAAGGTCCAATAAGACTGCTCTAGCCCTTATCAAATGACAGGTATGCTGAAGAGACAGAGTTGTCCTTGACCTTGAAACGTCGCGTCACCATAAGATAAGTCGGTTAGGCGAGTGTTGTTGAGGAAAACCTGCATTAGGGCACATCCGGAAAATCTAATAAGGTTCTTCTCATTAAAGGCGTTCATCCCGTGAGATATTATTTTGGATGATAAATATTTCCCTTAAAGAGTCGATCCATTTTTACTCCTTTTCTATCGCGCACATGTTTTTGTCTAATCTAAGATTCAGTCACTTGATTATGTATATATCGTAGCTTTTGGGCTATTATAGTCCGCGGACTATATACACGTTTAATGTTATGAATAATGTGGTGTTCGGAACATTTACAGACGCGGACTATACAACGATTTATTTTTAGATTGTTTGGACGCTTATAAAGCAGATATTTTTCAATGTTGCAACGTATGCGAACTATGTACCGAGTGCAGACTACGCAGCGGGTGGGCGGACTGTAGTGTGGAAAATGCAAGGCATTGACAACGTTAGAGTTTTTTTTTTGTAAAAAAAAGTGCTGTATCCTACAGACAGTGACTACCACGGTCGTAAGGGGTAAAGATGGGTGATTCGGTGCATGATCACAGAAATAAAAGTAGCGCAAAAATGAGTACAAGGACAAGCAGAAGATACTGAGTTTGTCCGTGTCTTCTACTTCTATGTGTCTTTTAGCTTTACTTTTACTTCTACTACTTCTATGTATTTTACCACTTCCACTTCTTCTACGAGTGCCTTCTACATTTACGAGTAGAAGACCCTGTTCCGTGTTGGTCTGTCTTCTATTTGTCCTTGTGTTCATGTTTGCGCTGTTTTTATTTTTCTTAGTAGCAGGGTCAGAGAACTTCGCACAGCATAGGGGTTGAACACAATACAAAGGAACGCTCCAAACGCTTACCAGATGAGTTTGTTGTGCACGCTCAGCCAGTCATCGTACGTGTTCTCGCTGATGCCAAACTTTGCGGATTCGCTTTTGTCAGGGACATGCAGCAGGTTCCGTAACAACACAAGGCAGTTACTCAGCCCTTCCAGGTCATTTTCTGTTAGCTCGGACGGTTCCTGATCCTGTCCGAAAAGTAAGACAAAGACACGCATCCCGTTTTTACACCCGTACAGCTGTCCATATTGCTACACTGTAATGTAGATCTGAAGCGTGTATCCCTACAGCACATTCACATGCCTCACGCGCGTTAAAGTTACCAAGGACTCCCGGACGCCTTTGCTGATAAAGTGTCGATGCCGTCACAATCCTACACTGACACTTTGCGTTTAATATTATATGTTAAAACAGTCCCGAATTAGTGAGATCAATGCTAAGTTCGTGTATAGTGTATATATATACATCTATATATATATACACATTATAAAAATTTTTTTTGTCTACTTGAATATAGTTGATACTTATATCAATACGATGAAAATGCGAGCAAGACACAACTTTGCGTTTTTTTTATCACGTTTATGTAATTATCCTTAAGCCCGCGAAGGTAGTGGCAATTCAAACCATTAATTTTACGGAGAAGTGATGCAACATAAGCACGTTTAAATGATGTTCGGATGAAGGAAACAACACATGTTCTTCTTTCCTAGAAAAGTTGCACGAGTATTACTCAGTGCTGATCTTGCATAGTGCTGGTATTTACTCGGCTCCTTCAGATTACGTAACCGAGTAGTTTGTAACAATTTATAGTACACGTGCCATACCAAACCGCAAACTTTTTTTTTAACACTGACACATTTTAAGAGAGAAAAAATTAAGCGTGCTCTACTAACCCATAGCTTTCCAAGCTTCTCCACTAAGCGAACCTGTGCGTTTGAGACAAAGTTGGAAGAAAGAAGAAGAGTAAATTAGGAAAAAAGAATCGCATTGACGCGGAAAACGCGGTGTTTGTTCTCCCAAATATTCTGCTTACGAAGTATCAACCGGTACTATCACAAAATTAAGCTTGTTGTTCGCAATAAATTACGTATCTAAATATACATTTCAGAAAGGGCTGTTACATTCTTTTAATTTGCAAACCGATGCAATTTTTAAATATAGCTAGAATTTTTCCTGGAAAGCTGATTAAATCCGTGGAGTCAAAACCCACCATGTTAATACAATTAGTTTTCATTTCAAATAATGAATTTTTTTTTTTTTAGCGGGCCAAGAACGTCACTGAAGGTAAGGTTGTTATAACAATTCAAAATTGAGAAGAAACAAGTTGAACGAAAACATAGGGACCTAACGTTCGGCACGAAGTATGACTGGTGTGCTGGCTGACAAATACTGCGACTTCTGTGAGTTCGCTTTGTTCACAAACTTGTTTATTTTTTACTTTCCAGGATGGTTAAGCAGGGTCGTTCAGAAGATCGTCAAAACGTAATTACATAATCACAGAGTGAATAACACAGGCGAAGTCTTGGTTACAAAAAAATGAGCTTTAGTGAATTCATTGTAAATGAAAACCTATTCGTCGCGTGTATATACCATGATTAATAAACAATATAACGATGCTTTTGTCTGTAGTTTCGTCTGAATAATTTTGTGAAAGGATTTGAAGTTAAACAGAATATATAACCGGGTTCAGGATCACATTTTCGTTTTAAACGCAAACGTTTGTAGCCCAGTATTAACACAGACAGTTATGAAAGTTCCTTAGTTTAGCTAATGCTGCGTTCCTCCGAACGCAGCATTAGCTAAACCGCTATTGCTGCGTTCGGAGGAGTCTTATGTAAATAAAAATAGAGCGAAGGGGTGAGGTACACGTCCAAGAAACGTAGTCAGCAGACGCTGATTTACGACGGAGCTTTATTGGAAAGAACACGAACCGGCGACAACACGTACTACCAAACCAATTTTGTGAACCAATCACTTCACATCGACCTAGATATGACATCTAGTTCTTAAACAATGTAATTGATGGTAAACTGACGCACGTGCCATATAGAACGCCTCAAAAATATTTATAGTTTTTTGGTTGCCACGCCGGGTTATTACTTCTGTGTCAGAAGACACTTCGTAGTTTCTATTACTTTCGTATAAATAAATACGCTTTCTTCTTTCCGACTCGCAGCTTAAGCTTGGGGCGTCTGATTTAGTTCCGGGTCTCTAAGGCGCTACTCAATTCCGGTCTACTTCGGTGGTTCGGTCACGTGTCAGGTTCGAGGCACGAGATCTAGTGCGGACGGCCCCGGTATCTTTTGTCTGTAGCCGGTGGGACGAGTTAACAAGGTAGAGACTTTTCCTGTTAAAGTGACGGAAGAAGCATCTGTTGCATTTTGCATCCCCGCGAGGAAAAACAATCCCCGCTATGCCACGGCTCCTTATTGAAACATCCACGAATTATTTCACCGACAGTTCTCTTGGTGCTTCGCTGAAGATTCGCTTAGAGAGATATTTAATGGGCACTTTTAACGCGGCCGCAAGACGACCGGCCGAACACTTCGCGTCTGTTGGTTAGCACGGAAGGACCGTGCTAAATATTCAGCTTTTTCTTTTCTGCGACATTAAAGTTTCTCTAAATTGCGAACGAGCAGGCTTTCGTAGGGCCTGCCGAAAGGGAGAAATCAAAAGTCGCCAGGAAAACAATAGACGGCTTAGGTTTCTAAACACGAAAATAATGGTTTGTAGGTTTACACTACCCGATGACTTTATACGTGGTATCTTCGACTGGCAGAAGACTTGGGGACTGAATGGCCGAAGGCTCAAAGCATGGCGTTAGCAGATGATATCTGACTCCGTTCACCTCTACAATCGAGGCTCAAAGTTCCGTAAGCATGCGGTTAAGATCCCCCGTCGAAGGCGTAAGCGGAGCGACGGGCACAGTGCAAGGGGTTTCAGCTCACGCTCTTCATCTTGGCCCTCAGTGCTTTCATGATGGTCTCCGTGGAGCGGACGTCGAGGAACGAGCGCTTGGTCTCAATGAGGAGTCCGTGCAGTTCCCGGATGGTGTCCTTGCTCGCCTTGCTCTGCAGCGCCAGGTCCATGGGGATCAGGCACTCGACGGGCGTCGTCAGGCGGAGCAACACCCTGCGACAGAAGGGGTTCAGGGAGACGTCATCTTTAGGGGATCCCCGACCCGCTGCCGAGTGACACACACATCCGTCTTAGCGTCGCGTTTGTCGTAAGACGCTGTAAAGGCTCTGTTATACTCCGATGTTAAGCGAAGCGAACGCAGCGTAGCGCAGAACGCGCGTTTCATTGGCCGGCGAGCAGGAACTCGATATCCGCGACCAATCAGCGTCCGCGGTCGCTGCGCTGCGCCGCGTTTGCTATTCTTGTCGGAGTGCTACAGAGCCTTAAGACGCGGTCGACGACGGTGGCGCGACCTAGTTGGCGCTGCGTGGATTTACTGGTGATGACGCTTACAGGAAAGGGGGAGAGAAGGTGGTATGTCGAGACCGGTTATAACGAAGTCAACAGGAATCAAAAATCACTTCGCTATATCCGCAATTTCGTTACAACCGACTTCGGTTATAGTGAAGTGCAAAAGGGAATGGGAAATCGTGATCGCTTCGCTGTAGCCGGTATTCGGTTATAACCGACTTCGTTATACACCAACTCATTTTTACAAACAAACCAGAGCGCACCTAGCGGACGCCACCGGCGCCGCAAGTGCGCGATGGAGTGTGGGCAAGAAGCTCGCCGTCGCCCATAAACAAACCATTGAAATGCGATGCTGTAAGCGTCGGTGTGAGTGCCCCTGCCCTTTTTTTTTGCGTTCGAATGGTTGGTTCTTCGTCTCCCTAGCAATGCCTGACTACTTGAGCGGCCTAAGCGAAATTACGGAGGCTCGTTACACCGCAAATCTTCGCGTAAATAATGGAACATGCGGCGATTCATTTCGCGTGGACGCCGCAGAATGTACGCTAAAGCCTATTTCAAGTGATGAGATTTCGCTCGCAATTTTCAGTCATGACGTCGCTCGGGTTACAACAGCGTGTACCGTAGCTGAGATGTTCAACATCGATACTGAAAATCGCAAGCAGAATCGGACCAAGTGAATCAGGCATAACAAGTCGGTGATGGCCACTGGTAAAAATGATCAACATCTCCTTGTATCTATTGTTTACATCGAGCTTGCTTTTCAACCTTCAAGCTTAAGACTTTTCAGGTCTGCATTTACTTGTTATCGCAAGTACCGGGCAAACATTTGGTCTACGGGCCGGTATCGTCTAAAAGAGCAGACAAGCACGAGCGTTTGAAAGCGCAGACTGTTCGAACGATCAGGCGGCCGTTCGAACTTGAAGACGCACTGAACGTATTCCGCAGGTGGTCGGTAAACTTGATGGTTTTCCGGCATTCATGTTGGAACAAAACAAATGAACCTGATGACCACAAGTATCCGTAAATTCCACCCAAAGTGCTTCCCGCCCAAGCAATCGTGGTCCGACGGCCGTCTGGTTTTTCATTTCCACAGCACATATTCACGTTATCGGACGAACCGAGCACATAAAAACTGATCTTCAATCCTTTCTCGACTCTTTTGGTACAGCTCCAGTCGCGGCGTTTTGATGAGGATGTATAGCTTTTTGTCAGGTTCCTTTCAAAACAACGCAGGAATACACGTGTCACATGGGGGCTTCCGCCCACAGCTTCAGACCGGAAGTGCACCCGACGCGCCACCTCCGCACCGTGACGTAACAGAGATGACTTCGTGTATAACCAGTCTCGACGTATTTGCCTGAGACCAGGAATTGCACGAGGCGCGATGTTACTCGCAATTCATTACTGTCAAATGAGTTATTTTGAAATTGTTGCGTTGCTCTTCCCTCGGAATATACAGGCGAAGAAATGTGACTTTATTATATTACGGCATGTGAATCTTATCGGAATGCACGAGGTTTAGATGCGGACAGCAAAGGTTTACCAGAAAACAAGACTTCGATAACTGGAACACAAAACGTAATCGCTAGAAGTAAGGTATTAAAACATAAGTGCGTCTGTCCTTCAATTTGGCGGTTCACGTTTGCTGCTGCTCGGTAAAGTGTGAACGAACGTAAAAAGAAAACAATTTGATGGGGATAGAGACTGATACACATGAGCCACAATTCTTTAATGTCACGTTTAGAAGAAGGGAACGCAGATTGCAAGCAGGAAAGGAATGCACTGACTCGAGGTACGCAGCGGTTTTGTAGAAAAACGCCGCGTCGCCTTCATTCGCGTCCCAAAGACGCGTGGCACGCCCCCGAGGAAATTTAGCGTTTTGTCACGGCCGCCATTCGCCGATTTTTTTGTATCAATTGGAGTGGCGGGCCCACATCACTAACCAGAAGGCGGCGTCCTCCATCCTCTCTGCTATGCCTCTCTGCTCTACTACCCGTCACCGCAAAGCCGAAAAACAACGAAACAAAAAAAAAAATTGAAAGCTCTTCCACCCTGTGAAGAGGGAAGTCCAGCGAAGCTGGTGATCCGGTGGGATTTGCTATGTCGGGCAGGGAGCAGCGGCAACGGCGGTTTCAAATTGGCGGTGTGCCCATTCTCGCTTCTGGGCGCGCCGACGCTCCTCGCACTCCCGCTGCTCTTCTTCGGAACGCACAACACGGGTGCGACCCATGTGAAATCTGAAGTCCAACTGATAAGGGCTGTGTTCCAAAATTTACTCGATCTTACTCAGGGTAAGGGTTTTGTATCCGTGGCGTTCTAAAACATACCCGCGTCCAGCGTTTTTCAATCTGTGCTGTCACGTGATACGATCTGCCGGAGTAACTCGGATCTATTTGGGTAAGATTTGGAACACAGCCAAGGACAGTAGCGCGATCTTCGGAAGGTTTGCCGCCGAAGAGCGCGCGGCATTGCGCAATGTCAGGGGGGAGAGAGACGCCGTGCGTGGGGAAGGCGTGCGCCTGCGGCGCCGGCGTCTGAAGTAGCAACTGTTGTAAAGTAAAAGCTTAAAACAAATGGCATATTGCACGCGCGTTTGTCAACGCTTTATTTTGGTTATTTGCTTCGAATCTTTTATAGGGGGATTTTTCATGGGCTGCAGACGCCGGTGTGTGCGGCGCCCGCGTCTGCAGCATTAGCTTCACAAAATTGTTGGTCTATGCTCGGTGTGACCCCAAAGACGATCTGCCAGAACCTAGACATAGAGTGCTTCGCTGTAAAAAAGAAAAACGAAATATATAATGAAATCGCATACTGGCATTAACTTCCGCCATTTTTGTTTTGCACACTGGTCATGATGACATGAGCACAACCACTCGGAGTCACCCGCGGCGTCAAACACCACTGCTCGAGACATTCTGTAGCGGCGTCGTTCGTTTCCTGGCAGAGCCACGTCGCGACAATTTGTTTTCCAGTCTCAGAGTGCCTTCCTAAACGCTCGCATTGCGGCGCAAATCGCGTCCTGAAACTTTAGCACTGGAGGCCCATCGGCCGGCCATATCCTCCGCAAAAAAACTCGAGGCAGGGGCATTATGTAAATTGCATACTCGGCGACAAAGCTTGCATCGTACGCTTCCCTTTTTGCCATTAGTTAAAGGTGTGAGAACAAGTGGCGATCACGACCCACACGGCCCTTACTAAACGTCTCGTTTTCTTTCGAAAGGCTGTCTCTCTGCGCAGCGGGCACGGGGAGCCGATCATTTTCCTTTTATAGCCGACGTCCCCCTCTTCCTTCCTCGACCCACATCGCCGGACCCAGCGTGATGTCGACTGCAGGCTGGCAGTGTCGTAACCCTAATCCTCTTGGGGAGAGTCGCTGCAGCACGAGATGGGAACCCGTCGGGATTTCGGCGGAGAAAGCAAAAACAACGATACATTCTCTGCGTTGTTTTGGTTGTTCTCGATGTTACGAGGCTGACGGGATCGTTAAGGCCCCTGCCAACACGTGCTGGAGTATTCACGTGTCTCGAAGATTTCCGAGCCGCGTACTAACCGCAAGGTCCTCACAAAGCGCGTTAAACATTTCGGAATGTTTTTTTTTTTTTAACGTTCCAGTGTATAATAGTGACGAGGAGTGCGCTACTGGGTCTTCGGCGTCAGATGGTTTGGTTATAAGTGAACACGCTTTCGCCTTAAAGGAATCAAAGAAATGAGTGAGCGAAACAAAGAAAACAAACCTTGGCAGAAATTCTAGTTCAAAACAAAAGGTAAACTGTTCGCTGTGCTGACCTCTTTTTTTTTTATCTTATTTTTTTTACAATCACTGAGAGTCGAACGCACGCAAGGCGTGGCTTGATGTTCGCTGTTTCGCATTTTTATTAATTATGTCGCAATATCATTGACTTGGGGGAGATAAGGACATGCTTAACAGTCATGAAGACCCGCGCTTCTTTAATTTTCAGTGCCTATGCACCTTTCCAAAAATCGATCCTAGGTCGCAGCCATGTTGCTGTGTATGATTCAGCTGTTGCGACTCTCGCGTCCCCTGTCAGTTTAGAAATATTTTGCCACGCTCTTGGACTGTGGAAACCTGCTCCATGCGATTCTTCACCTATGTTTTGCACTCGAAGTTTTCCGGCCTCCCATTAAAGTATCCTCTTAATTTTTCTTATGCATGCTGCGTATCCTTTTTCTGTAACCTTCATCCTGCCTGCCATTCAAGCGTTTCTGCTCCACATTCACGGGAAACGAAGAAACGGAAGAACGCCGAACGGCCCTCGACGCAATTTTGCGAACAATGACAACTGCCCCCCCCCCCCCCCCCCCCCCCTCCCAGATATAATCCGTGTAGAGTCATTCTGAGGCATAACCAAAAATAGTTATTCGGGTTGGGGCAGGGAACAGGTCAGTCGCGTTCGTTCCTTTGCCTTGGTGATGGTGGGATTGTGCTTTCTGATGTTCCAATAAAACCTATCAGTTGCGAGTGAGCGCTCGTCCGTCGTTTGTGCTTCTTACTCTGTCCTCGTCTTTTGTGCGCTTTTAAAACCCATATGAGACTTTGGGCCGGAGCCACGCGGGAGGGAGTCCCAATTTTCCCTAGATAATTTCCACCAATCTTCTAATCGTCTCTTTGTCACTGTAATCCTTTTCTGTACCGTCCTTC